TTTTTTCTGCAGCCCACGAAAGATTTGGTTGATGTCCGCCTGGGGCTTTGCATGTCTGCAATGGAAGACACTGTCCTGCAGATTCGGGTGTCATCTGCAAAGGAAGACACGGTGCTGTGGCTGACATCCTTGTCTATGTCGGATATGAGGATGAGGAACAAGATGGGAGCTAGTACTGTGCCTTGTGGAACAGCTTTTCACCGTAGCTGCCTCGGACTTTACTCTGTTGACGACTACTTTCTGTGTTGTATTAGTGAGGAAATTATAAGATCCATCGACCGACTTTTCCTGTTATTCCTTTAGCACGCATTTTGTGCGCTATTACGCCATGGTCACACCTGTCGAAAGCTTTTGCAAAGTCTGTATATATTACATCTGCATTCTTTTTGTCTTCTAGTGCATTTAGGACCTTGTCGTAGTGATCCAATAGTTGAGACAGACAGGAGCGACCTGTTCTAAACCCATGTTGCCCTGGGTTGTGCAACTGATGGGTTTCTAGATGGGTGGTGATCTTGCTTCTTAGGACCCTTTCAAAGATTTTTATGATATGGGATGTTAGTGCTATTGGTCTGTAGTTCTTTGCTGTTGCTTTACTGCCCCCTTTGTGGAGTGGGGCTATGTCTGTTGTTTTTAGTAACTGTGGGATGACCCCCGTGTCCATGCTCCCTCTCCATAGGATGGAAAAGGCTCGTGATAGGGGCTTCTTGCAATTCTTGATGAACACAGAGTTCCATGAGTCTGGCCCTGGGGCAGAGTGCATGGGAATGTCATTTATCGCCTGTTCTAAGTCATCTGGCGTCAGGATAACATCGGATAGGCTTGTGTTAATCAAATTTTGTGGCTCTCTCATAAAAAAATCATTTTGATCTTCAACTCTCAGTCTGGTTAGCGGCTTGCTAAAAACTGAGTCACATTGGGACTTAGTAGCTCACTCATTTCCTTGCTGTCTCTGTGTAGGACCCATCTTGTTTAAGTAGGGCCCAAACTGGACGGTTTTTTCCCCGATTTTGATTTGGGGCATAGGAGAAGAAATCTATTGGGTTTCTTTCGTTTTCATTTATGGCTTTTAGTTCTTCCCGCGATTCCTGACTCCTAAAGGATTTTTAGCTTAAGTTCGATGCTTGCAATTTCTCTGACCATGCTCCCTCGCATTTCAGATATATTGACCTCTTTTAGCCGCTCTGTTATTCTTTCCGTCGCCTGTAAAGGAGCGCCTGTCTCTTTCTATTGTACATCTACTCCTCCTTTTTCTTAGAGGAATAAGCCTTGTGCATACATCGAGTGCCACCCGAGTTAATCTGTTCTAGGCAATAAGTTGGGGACTGTGTTGCTTTTTAGTATGTTTTTCCCACTTATATCTTTTAGACTTGGTTTACTTGGTCCCACTTTATGTTTTTGTTATTGAAGTTGAATTTGGTGAATGCTCCCTCGTGACTAATCTCATTGTCGGTCTGGGGTTTCCGCGCATACATGACTGAACCTCAATTATGTTGTGATCTGAGTATATTTTTTTTGATATGGTGACATTTCTTATCAATCATCTTTGTTGTGAAGATGAGGCCCTAGTGTATTCTCCAGTCTAGTAGGCTCTATTATTTGCTGGTTAAAATTGAATTTTGTGCAGAGATTTAAAAGCTCGAAATGAGTGTGATTTTCATCAGAGCTGCCTCCTGGTGTTATTACTGCAACAATATTATTTGCTATTTTCCTCCATTTTAGGTGCCTTAAGTTGAAATCCCCCAGGAGCAAGATGTTGGGTGCAGGAGCTGGAAGATTTTCCAACAGTGGTCATTTTTTTTTTTGCAGCTGTTCCTGGAATTGCTGGTATTTTGCATCCGGAGGCTTGTAGACTACCACAATGACTAGGTTTTGGTTCTCGACCTTTACTGCCAAAACTTCCACTACATCATTTGAGGCATTAAGCAGTTCTGTGGAAACAAGTGACTCTGCAATGTACAGGCCAACCCCCCCCCCCTTTTGCCTGTTCACTCTGTCACATCTGTATAGGTTGTAACCTGGGATCCATATTTCGTTGTCCAAGTGATCCTTTATGGTTAGGTAGGTTACAAAATGCTGAATTGGGTGATTATTGGGTGATTACTGCCCAAAACTCATCATCTAACAAATTTGATTGTTCTAAATACCCATAAAAATGTAATGCATGGCAGGGTGCAAGATACCTTAAATTGTATTAGGGAAACTTTCTGGATTCCACAAGGACGGCAAAGTGTAAAAAGGGTGATCAAATCTTGTGTAATATGTCGCCGTGTGGATGCCAGATCCTATATGTACCTAGGTCCTCCACCGTTGCCAAATCAGCAATTTGAGTCATTTAGCAATGACCTCCGCCTGGCTGCAGTGTGGAAAATAATTTCCCAATGTTATGCTGTGTAAATAAACCTGATTAAAAGTGTATTTTTAAAAGAAGAGAATGGAGCCGACAGGAAGGCTCTGAGCATGCGCAAGAGACACTCACAAGAGACACTACCTGGAGTTCACTACCTTTGTAACTAGTTCAGCTATCATAACTTTGGGGTCCAGTCACTGGACCCATTATGTACCTTTGTAATCTTTTGACTACCGCCCACAGGATGGGTATGGGGTGCATAATAAAGATATTAAACTAAAGTGTGTGTGTGTGTGTGTGTGTGTGTGTGTGTGTGTGTGTGTGTGTGTGTGTGGTGTGTGTGTGTGTGTGTTGTGTGTGGGGGTGTGTGTGTGTGTGTGGTGTGTGTGTGTGGGTGTGGTGTGTGTGACTCAACAATCAATATTTGCACCAATAACTCATTAAAAGTTGTGACCGGTGTGGAAGTGTGAATTGCTCATTACTCTATAATTTGTTCATGATTGTAGCCATGTATAAACGTAAGTAACCATTCTACAGAATTCATTACCTTTGTAACTTGTGAGCTCATTTCCTTTGTACCTAGTTCAGCTATCAAAACTTTGGGGGCCCAGTCCCTGGACCCATTACGTACCTCTGTAATCTGTAAATACCTTTGTAACTTGTCATGATTGTGACCAGACTTACCTGGAGTTTATTACCTTTGTAAATTGTGAGTTCATTACCTTTGTAAATTGTGAGTTCATTACCTTTGTAAATTGTGAGTTCATTACCTTTGTAAATTGTGAGTTCATTACCTTTGTAAATTGTGAGTTCATTACTTCTGTAACTTGCTCAGCTATCAAAACTTTGGAGTCCAGTCCCTGGACCAATTATGTACCTCTGTAATCTTTTGACTACCGCCCACAGGATGGGTATGGGGTGCATAATAAACATATTAAACTAACTAACTGTTTGTTTTGAATTGAGAGTAACAGACATTAATTAATAATGAGAAGAATTTTCTTGCTCTACAGGTTAAAACTGGGTTGACACCTCTCAAATAGGAGGCGAAATTGTTGGATGTGCATTCCTGCATAATTTGAGTATCAGGCAACTGGACAAGACAGCTCCAGGAACCTCAGATAAGTCTTATGTTGTAACCTGGCCAGTGTTATTTTCATAGATAGACAGTGAGGTTTTCTGAGTATGATACACATTAATCTCCAGTCAAATTGGTGAATGAGTTTAAGATATTCTCCTTCTGTTATATAAATGTGTATATATATATATATATAATATATATATATATATATATATATATATATATATATATATATATATATATATTGTTGCAGTTTAAAAAACTGTAGTGTAAAGCACCCTTCTGGCAAGACAGTGATGGAGTGAATGATGGTGAAAGTTTTTCTTTTTCGGGCCACCCTGCCTTGGTGGGAATCGGCCAATGTGATAAAAAAAATATATAATCAATTATTAATTTAATATACAGTCCACAAATTTATATATTTACCAGCATTCTTGGTGATACATATTTCATTTGTAATTAATAGGTCCAGAGCAACTTGTGGATATGACAGTGGTAGGTATCGAAGGGGGACATTTTTTGCGACCTAGGTTATTATTATTATTATTATTATTAAATATTTGCCGGTATTCTCCCGGCCCGGGCCTTTTCCAAGTGGTGGCCCGGCCTTGGCTCCCTCTTTAGGGAGTGTCTGAGACCTAAGTCTCCCATGGGAGGAGGCACAAGTACCTCCTCATCTTTGGGACCAACTGTCCCCAGGCCTAGCTAGGCCTCTCTGGTCTGTCATCCCCGCCTCATGGGGGCAAATGGGAATGACAGTCTTGTGAGCTAAAGGCTCGGACTCAGGCACCTACCCTACCCTAGAAGGGTTAGGCATGGTGTCGATCTGCGACCTAGGTGTCCCAAATTCCTACTTGTCTAACTGATAAATAATAATTATCTTTGTTCATTTACTGTTATGTACATAATTATACATTCAGATAAATGCAATTTCCCCCCCCCCCTTCATTCAGTTAAACTAATATAAACTAATTAAACTAATATAATGGGTGCTATCCAATTTAAACTGGTCTCGGACAGATATGGATAAGATTGTGAGGTCGAAGGGACCACCTGCAGTGACCAGGGGTGGTTAATTTAAGTTTTCTCACAAGTCTACACGGGGTGACTGTGGTAAACAATATGGTTGTTGTCTCCCAATGAGATTACTCGTATGCATGTAATGTTGAGGTACATACAGGTAACACCCTATAAAATTTTCCATATATACCTCGCATATGTACTTGTATTAAATATAGATATATTATATATTATAAGGATCCAAATGGAAACAAGTCTTTCTCTGACTTTTTTGGTTTATCCTAGGTTCATACACATGTGCTGCTGTGTATTATATTTTATGTAATTGTGTATACCTGAATACACTTACTAATTTACTCACTTAGGATAACCCCAGAAATGTTAGACGAAGTGACTTGTTCCTTGTTTTATATATGGCACACTGGAACAGTTTCCTTAATTAAGTCATACACCCACCCAAACAAATTAAAATGTCAGGACAAAAATTTAAATCCCAGTAAATGTAAATATGTTTGTATATGGGAAAGTATAAACATTATATAGAGGATCCTTGAGAGGTTGTAGAGAGTAAACAAAGCGCCAGTGTCAACACAGTCAGTCTACTATTATATTGACCTCTACTGACATTACCTGACCTCAAATACGATGTATGTATTAAACTGTTGACTCGTAAATAATCAAAGTCTAGTTTGATACCAAAGTTTTGGAATAATATTTGAAATTAGGAACATTGTGTGTATTAGGAACATTGTACATAGTGTGAGTAGATCAGCCTAGATGTTCCACTACTACGACTACATTACTACTTTATTGTAGTGCTTGTAGTGTTGTGTTGGAGCTTGTAGTGTTGTGTTGGTGCTTGTAGTGTTGTGTTGGAGCTTGTAGTGTTGTGTTGGTGCTTGTAGTGTTGTGTTGGAGCTTGTAGTGTTGGTTGTTTGTAGTGTTCTTGATTAGTAGTGTTGTGTTGGTCATGTAGTGTTGTGTTGGAGCTTGTAGTGTTATGTTGGTGCTGTAGTGTTGTGTTGGAGCTTGTAGTGTTGTGTTGGTGCTTGTAGTTGTTGTGTTGGTGCTTGTAGTGTTTGTTGGTGCTTGTAGTGCTGTTTGGAGCTTGTAGTGTGGTGTTGGTGCTTGTAGTGTTGTGTTGGTGCTTGTAAGTGTTGTGTTGGAGCTTGTAGTGTTGTGTTGGTGCTTGTAGTGTTGTGTTGGAGCTTGTAGTGTTGTGTTGGTGCTTGTAGTGCTGTGTTGGAGCTTGTAGTGTTGTGTTGGTGCTTGTAGTGTTGTGTTGGAGCTTGTAGTGTTGTGTTGGTGCTTGTAGTGTTGTGTTGGAGCTTGTAGTGTTGCGTTGGTGCTTGTAGTGTTGTGTTGGAGCTTGTAGTGTTGTGTTGGTGCTTGTAGTGCTGTGTTGGAGCTTGTAGTGTTGTGTTGGTGCTTGTAGTGTTGTGTTGGAGCTTGTAGTGTTGTGTTGGTGCTTGTAGTGTTGTGTTGGAGCTTGTAGTGTATGTGTTTGCTTGTAGTGTTGTGTTGGATGCTTGTAGTGTTGTGTTGAGCTCGTAGTGTTGTGTTGGTGCTTGTAGTGTTTGGTGTTAGGTGTTTGTAGTGTTGTGTTGGTGCTTGTAGTGTTGTGTTGGAGCTTGTAGTATTGTGTTGGTGCTTGTAGTGTTGTGTTGGAGCTTGTAGTGTTGTGCTGGTGCTTGTAGTGTTGTGTTTGTGCTTGTAGTGTGTGTGTTGGAGCTTGTAGTGTTGTGTTGGTGCTTGTAGGTTGTGTTGGAGCTTGTAGTGTTGTGTTGGTAGCTTGTAGTGTTGTGTTGGTGCTTGTAGTGTTGTGTTGGAGCTTGTAGTGTTGTGTTGGAGCTTGTAGTGTTGTGTTGGTGCTTGTAGTGTTGTGTTGGAGCTTGTAGTGTTGTGTTGGGCTTGTAGTGTTTTCTTGTAGTTGTGGCTTGTAGTGTTGTGTTGGAGCTTGTAGTGTTGTGTTGGTGCTTGTAGTGTTGTGTTGGTGCTTGTAGTGTTGTGTTGGTGCTTGTAGTGTTGTGTTGGTGCTTGTAGTGTTGTGTTGGAGCTTGTAGTGTTGTGTTGGTGCTTGTAGTGTTGTGTTGGAGCTTGTAGTGTTGTGTTGGAGCTTGTAGTGTTGTGTTGGAGCTTTGTAGTGTCTTGTATGTTGGTTGGGCTTGTAGTGTTATGTTGGAGCTTGTAGTGTTGTGTGTTGTAGTGTTGTGTTGAGCTGTGTGTTGTTGGAGCTTGTAGTGTTGTGTTGGTGCTTGTAGTGTTTGTTGTGTTGAGTGCTGTGTTGGAGCTGAGTGTTGTGTTGGTGCTTGTAGTGTTGTGTTGGAGCTTGTAGTGTTGTGTTGGTGCTTGTAGTGTTGTGTTGGAGCTTGTAGTGTTGTGTTGGTGCTTGTAGTGTTGTGTTGGAGCTTGTAGTGTTGTGTTGGTGCTTGTAGTGTTGTGTTGGAGCTTGTAGTGTTGTGTTGTGCTTGTAGTGTTGTGTTGGAGCTTGTAGTGTTGTGTTGGTGCTTGTAGTGTTGTTGTTGGAGCTTGTAGTGTTGTGTTTGGTGCTTGTAGTGTTGTGTTGGAGCTTGTAGTGTTGTGTTGGTGCTTGTAGTGTTGTGTTGGAGCTTGTAGTGTTGTTGGGTTGGTTGTAGTGTTGTTGGAGTGTTGTGTTGGAGCTTGTAGTGTTGTGTTGGTGCTTGTAGTGTTGTGTTGGAGCTTGTAGTGTTGTGTTGGTGCTTGTAGTGTTGTGTTGGAGCTTGTAGTGTTGTGTTGGAGCTTGTAGTGTTGTGTTGGTGCTTGTAGTGTTGTGTTGGTGCTTGTAGTGTTGTGTTGGTGCTTGTATGTTGTGTTGGTGCTGTAGTGTTGTTTGGGCTTGTAGTGTTGTGTGGCTGTATGTGTGTTGGCTTGTAGTGTGTGTTGGTGCTTGTAGTGTTGTGTTGGTGCTTGTAGTGTTTGTGGTTTGTGTGCTTGTAGTGTTGTGTTGTTTGCTTGTAGTGTGTGTTGTGCTTGTAGTGTGTGTGTGCATTGTTGCTTGTGTTGGTGCTTGTAGTGTGTTTGGTGCTTTGTTGTGGTGTGTGTTGTTGCTTGTTAGCTTGTGTGTGTGTGTTGTTGCTTGTGGTGGTGTGTTGTTGTTGCTTGTTGGTTGGTGTTGTGTGTTGTTGTTGTGGTGTGTGTGTTGTTTGGCTTTGTAGTGGTGTGTTTGTTTGCTTGTTGGTGTGTGTTGTTTGTTGTCTTGTTGTGGTGTGTTGTGGTTGTTGCTTGTTGTGGTGTGTTGTTGCTTGTGTGTGGTGTTTGTTGCTTGTAGTGGTGTGGTGTTGTTGCTTGTTGTGGTGCTGTTTGTTTGCTTGTGGTGGTGTGTTGTTGCTTGTAGTGTGTGTGTTGTTGCTTGTTGGGGTGTGTTGCTTGCTTGTGGGTTGTTGTTGTGGTGTGTTTGCTTGTTGTGGTGTGTTGTTGCTTGTGGTGGGTGTGTTGTTGCTTGTAGTGGTGTGTTGTTTGTTGTAGTGGTGTGTTGTTGCTTGTTGTGGTGCGTTTGTTGGCTTGTGGTGGTTGTGTTTGCTTTTAGTGGTGTGTTGTTGCTTGTTGGGGTTGTGTTGTTGTGCTTGTAGTGGTGTGTTGTTGTTGCTTGTTGGGGTGTGTTGTTGCTTGTAGTGGTGTGTTTGTTGCTTGTTGGGGTGTGTTGTTGCTTGTTGTGGTGGTGGTTGTTGCTTGTTGTGGTGTGTTGTTGCTTGTGGTGGTGTGTTTGTTGCTTGTAGTGGTGTGTTGTTGCTTGTTGTGGTGTGTTGTTGCTTGTGGTGGTGTGTTGTTGCTTGTAGTGGTGTGTTGTTGCTTGTTGGGGTGTGTCATTGCTTGTTGTGGTGTGTTGTTGCTTGTTGTGGTGTGTTGTTGCTTGTTGGGGTGTGTTGTTGCTTGTGGTGGTGTGTTGTTGCTTGTGGTGGTGTGTTGTTGCTTGTAGTGATGTGTTGTTGCTTGTTGTTTGTGTTGTTGCTTGTTGTGGTGTGTTGTTGCTTGTTGTGGTGTAGTGGTGTGTTGTTGCTTATAGTGATGTGTTGTTGCTTGTAGTGATGTGTTGTTGCTTGTAGTGGTGTGTTGTTGCTTGTAGTGGTGTGTTGCTTGTAGTAGTGTGTTGTTTGTAGTGATATGATGTTGCTTGTAGTGGCGTGTTATTGTTTGTATTGGTGAGTTTGCTGCTTTGTGGTGTGTTGTTGCTTGTTGTGATATGTTGATGCTTGTAGTGATGTGTTGTTGCTTGTATTGGTGTGTTGTTGCTTGTAGTTGTGTGTTCTTGTTTGTTGTGGTGTGTTGTTGCTTGTAGTGGTATGTATTGTGGTGTGTTGTTGGTTGTTGTGGTGTGTTTGTTGCTTGTAGTGATATGTTGTTGCTTGTAGTGGTGTGTTGTTGCTTGTTGTGGTGTGTTGTTGCTTGTAGTGATATGTTGTTGCTTGTAGTGGTGTGTTGTTGCTTGTTGTGGTGTGTTGTTGCTTGAAGTGGTATGTATTGTGGTGTGTTGTTGGTTGTTGTGGTGTGTTGTTGCTTGTAGTGGTGTGTTGTTGCTTGTAGTGGTGTGTTGTTGCTTGTTGTGGTGTGTTGTTGCTTGTAGTGATGTGTTGCTTGTAGTAGTGCATTGTTGCTTTTAGTGGTGTGTTGCTTGTAGTGGTGTGTTGTTGCTTGTTGTGGCATGTTGTTGCTTGTTGTGGTGTGTTGTTGCTTGTAGAGATATGTTGTTGCTTGTTGTGGTGTGTTGTTGCTTTTAGTGGTGTGTTGCTTGTAGTGGTGTGTTGTTGCTTGTTGTGGCATGTTGTTGCTTGTTGTGGTGTGTTGTTGCTTGTAGAGATATGTTGTTGCTTTTAGTGGTGTGTTGCTTGTAGTGGTGTGTTGTTGCTTGTTGTGGTGTGTTGTTGCTTGTAGTGATATGGTGTTGCTTGTAGTGGTGTGTTGTTGCTTGTTGTGGTGTGTTGTTGCTTGAAGTGGTATGTATTGTGGTGTGTTGTTGGTTGTTGTGGTGTGTTGTTGCTTGTAGTTATATGTTGTTGCTTGTAGTGGTGTGTTGTTGCTTGTTGTGGTGTGTTGTTGCTTGTAGTGATATGTTGTTGCTTGTTGTGGTGTGTTGTTGCTTGTAGTGATGTGTTGCTTGTAGTAGTGCATTGTTGCTTTTAGTGGTGTGTTGCTTGTAGTGGTGTGTTGTTGCTTGTTGTGGCATGTTGTTGCTTGTTGTGGTGTGTTGTTGCTTGTAGAGATATGTTGTTGCTTGTTGTGGTGTGTTGTTGCTTGTAGTGGTGTGTTGCTTGTAGTGGTGTGCTGTTGTTTGTAGTGATATGATGTTTGTGGAAAATATTTTAATTTTCCGAAGCTATAGTGCCTAATAGGTGTTTAATGTGTCGATATGGGTCAAGAAATTTATTTGAAAATAGGATAGAACCAAGAGTTCCCTTTGCGCATGCGCGGATGTGTGGGGGAACAGGTCGACTCAGGGCATGGGGGAGGCGGGAGTGTTTTTGAATGTAGTGAGGAGGCTGTGAAAACATGGGACCAGGAAATTCTCGTTCACGGCGGCCTAAGGATTAATATAGGCCTCACTTCATAATAGGAAGTGTCGTAACTGTTCCTGATGAAGAGTGAGGGAACGTGATTTATGGGACCACCGTAATAAAGTGGTAAAATTAGT